GAGTAACCGAGAAAAACCGAGAGAGAGAGAGGGGGTAAGAAAAGGTTGTTTTAAAATAAGAGCTAGAAAGGGAAAAAAATTGTCTCGCGAAGGAGATAAAGAGGAGCAGGAAATTGGCAAGATTCATAACAGGTGGGAGAGAGGAGGGAAGAAAAAGAGGGTGCGTCTGGAGGGTGGATACCCGAGCCAATGTGACTAATGGGGTGTCCTCGCTTTGCATTTCCGAGGTCGCTGGGAACGCTCACCTACGTTTAAGGGGCTTTCATCCCCGACCTCGCCCAAGAGGAATCCTATCGAACCCGTATCCGATCGTGAAAGGGACTACTCGAAAAGTTTGCACCGTACAACCCTTTCACAACGCGGCCAAGAATTCTGAAAGGCGCGCTTCTTAAAAGGGCCGCGATAGAAGCAAAAGGGGAGGGTGTGTCGAAGTAATAGGAAGAACGGAATCATCCCTTGAAGGGAGGTTTCGCCCTCCACGTGCATCAATTCTGCGACAAAGTCCCGTTGGACTTTAAAACAGCCGATCAACGTCCTCGTGCTTTGTCACATTTACTTTCTACGCGTTGACCATGTTAAACGATATACGAATTCGAGCGGCATTTAAAAGGCTAAAATTTCTCTTTGAGAGTAAACGCGTCGGGACGCTACAGCGAGATCGGAAATTGTACCTCGGGTCCGGTCGAACTCGGTTCAGAGCGAAGAAAGGGAAGGAAGAAAAGGAGGAAGCCAGGGAACGGGTCGACGGTGTCACTCGTCCCGGCAACTAATTACAATAATCAGAAAAGTGTCACCGGCCCGTAATTAGTTGGCTGTCGGTTGACGTTCGGCTGTCACCGAGAGAGCCGTCGTAGGGTGGTGACGGGCTCGTAATGCTCTTTAAATTAGCTGCTCGAAACCCGGGCGCCTCGTTATCCGACGTCCTCCGTCCTTCTCCTTGAAATTGACGGATCAGGGAACTCTTGGAAGGAGAAAGTCGAGAGAGATCTCTTTCTCGCGGTCTCCTCGTACACGTCTCGCGCCGCATCTCGCTTACGAGTTCGCTAACCGAATGTACGAAAGCTGAAACCAAAGACTCTCTCTCCCCTCCCGGAAACTAGACTCTAACTTTGCTGATTACTTGGTTGCAACGCGAAGAAGCATCCCCGTCGGCTCGCCTCAACTTTTTCCGCCGGCAACTCGATATTCCACCCCGGAGAAATGACTCCGTATAATGAAGCTACGTGTCGCAACGGTAAAACTCCGGCTAGTCCGATCCTGCTTCCTCTCGAGGCGTAAAAAAAAAAAAAAAAGAGTCCACAATGTCCACAAGTTTACGGTGCCCCCCGATACGTCGTAAACGGAAGTAACCGGGAGACCATCGTCGGACCCATGGAAAGCGGCTTAGTCTTTCGGCCCAAATTGAATCCGCGTTTCCCGAAGGAGAGGGCACGCATTTAACGTAGCGCCGGTCTAAAAGGAAACTCCCAGGAAGGCGGTTACTATGGCTCCCGAGAGAAAAGCCCTTTGAGAGCCAAGGCATCCTATAAGGGGTCCGACGTGGTCACGTCAAAAATTCGATTTAATCCCTCTCCTGATTCATGAGAGAGAGCGACCCTGGATGGTCGCCATTGGCCCAAGGATTTGGGGATAGGTTTCAGAGTTACGAGCATCCCCTCTCTGCGTTTTCCTTTTCAATGGACGCTCAAGTTCCTGCCAAGTTCGATTGGAACCGAACCGTTTCCGAAGTTGTAACCATTGAAAACTGCTCGCCAACTATTGCCGGTCTTGGTCGCCCGGTATAATTACTGGCTCCTGGCCGCTTTTGCACCGATCATCTCTCCCGAGGAGCAGTCGACCCGATTCCGGGATCGGTCGCGTTAGTTGCCCCAGTCATCCTCGAATCCCGGGAAAACGCTACCCACTCGCTCTACGGTCGACTCGCCACTTTTCTTCCGCGACAAACTTCCTCCGATAGATATCTCATCGACGAGCGCGCCCAAGAGAACAAACGACTTCGATTTCGCGTAGAATCGCTCCCGAAGTTTAGTGTATTGAAACCGGGTGTTATATCCGATCTACCGTGGGTCTTGTTCTAACGTGGAAAATCTGCGCGTACACTTTGAGAAAAAAATTTCATTGCACCAAAGAAATATTTCTTTGATAAAGTACAATAAAAATGACAAAACCTTTGTAGACTAAATTATTTCATGCTAACATATATACACTTCACCTAACGAAAGCTTTTCATTATTCTTTGAAATATTGTTCCGTTTGTAATAACAGCTTCGGTCTCTTCGACGTCGTCATACGTTGGACTCTGTCATATCCAAAGGATTATTATCATGTCGGGAGCGTCTTCCGCGGACAAACCACCGACGCGATGACAAACTTGGACCGATCGATCTCTCGTCGAAAAGTCGGACAAAGAAGCCTTCCGCTCGGGGCGCTCTCGACGGCCGAATCGCCCGATCCGATGGACAAAGGACAATTCCGTGATTCGTCGATTCATCAAGGGATCACTTTACCGCCGTCATTATTCCCCCGTAATCGCGGCACTCGTCATCCGCTTAATGGCTTACTAGTCAACTTATTAGTTGACGGTTAGGACTATCGACCGAATTGATATTCCACTTTTCTTTTTCTTCTTCCTTATGCGAAAGGACCGACAGAACTTTAATATCGTACCGCAGTAGTAGAGTACTTAAAAATTGAGATCCCGCTAGGAATTCCCCATGGAATTTTTCAAGCTTCCCAATACCGCGATCGACAATCAGGGATAGCCATGATTCGCGGCCGTGAATTATACATGAGCTATCATCGTCGCATATTTCGCGGGAATCGGGACTCACGAGGAGATTGAGCGAGAATTCCGCGCGCTAGAGGCGAGACGGAAAAATCATTCGTTTAAACGGAAAATAATTCCCGATCATGGAGCTTCTCCTTTCCTCCGTGAAATTCGATAGAGACACGCCGTTGTGGAAACGTATATGCCTATGACTGCGGGGAGCTATTAACATAACTCTAGAGTACTCCACGGAAGAGTACTCTCTCTTTCCCTATACACTTGGACACTTCCACTCGATTCCTCTCCGTTCCTTCCCTGCGATATTTCCCTGAAATTTCATTTCAGCTAAAACAAAGCTCTCGTGGTTTCATAATTTCGCCTAACTTTGAAAAATTCGCTATTAGATATGAGGGTCCGATCATCGATCGGACGAAGCGTTCTACACCCTGTTGATAAAAAAATATTATCCTACATGAAATTTATAATTCTACTGCAATCTTATGTACCGAAAGTGCATGGATTTTATGAATATCTCTAACGAGGGAGCCGAACCTTTCGAGCCGGTGTTTGTAACGACTCTCTGGTATTAATTGGGAGAAATGGTGGGAAATTAAGAGGGCGGCAGTCACACGGTAAAAAGTAATTTCCGAGGCCCGTTAGGAGTAAACGTTGGAGGCGTTTAGGGTGATTACCCCTCGTCCACTTGCAGCGTTCGTGGCCGAAAGGGTCCTACCTTGCGAAGTAAGTGCCGAATGCCGGGAGGGCCGAGGAAGGGGAAGGGCTGTTGCCGATATCCGGCACGTGAGAGAGCGGCAATTTCGTATTCCACGTGGCTTCGGCCTTCGCGAGTTCAACTAAGTGCAGTTTGCGCTCGCCGGCCATCATAACCCCTGGGCGGTATCGGCGCGATTGGGCTACGTGCCGCGTCTTCGAGATCTGGGCCGCAGGTTCGCCCTGACTGCCCTAGCCTTTGAATAAACGAACAGGTCCGTTTCCATAACCACCCTCGGTTTTACCACCTTCCCAACGACGCCTCATAGTCGCCGTCGATTGAAAACCACACCTTCCTCTAGTGCCCGCTTAAGACCGTCGTTACAACAATCGATTACTACCTCTTTTTAATACCTGAAAATCGCCTCTCGAGACAATACGCGCTCACGCTTAAAGAAATGACAAACCTAGAGCAGTCAATCCTAACGTAGTCGTGGACGAAACCACCCTGTTAGAAATATTCATAAAATTCAGGCACTTTCAGTGTATGAGTATCTAGTGGAACGATACACGATTCCTTGCAGTTTATCGTGATTACGGATTTCTTTGTCGAGAATTCGTCAACTGACTCGAGCTTTCGGGGTTTTTCGAAGCCGTCCGGCTTCGTTTTTCGGGCTTAACTCGATTCTCGAATCGCGCGTTTCGCTGGCAACTAGCGATCACGCTCGGATTGGCGGTCTCCGCGGTGGAGGAAAGCGACGCGGTGCTTAATTCAATTTGGTTCGGCCAGTGAATACCACAAGGGTAACTACCCTACCCCCCGACCCTTCGCGGGGGGTGCGGCCCCGCTCCCGGTCTCGGTGCACCCCTGACCGACACGACCAATCGTAAAACGCTTAATAAAATCCCATGGTAATAAAGCGAAACGCCGTTTGATGCCCGTTGCCAGCGAGAACGCCCGGCCGGACTTGATTCCGCATTGTTTGCAGTTAAATTATTTTATATCCGTCCGGCAGATCTGGCGCTGGCAGTAATCGACCAGGCCATTCAACGATTATGCATTATAATTCGTTATAAATTGCCAGCCGTACAGAGCCCTCCGCGCCCGACTTTTTTCTGCGATTCTTTCAGTTCTCCCACCCCTAATTTTTTTTTTTTTTTCCGGGGCGGTCCCTCTTGTAACGACAGATTGAGAAATGAGCCGCAGTGCGGCTGTCGCCCGAAATTCCGCTGGTTTTTTCCCCTTTTCGGATTTGACCGATTCGAGACCTGGTTTGTTAACTCATTGTGGCTGTACGGGTGTCCATTATGATATCGACATATTTTTAAAGAATTGGTGATTTTTTTCTAATGCCATAGTGGGTTTCGTGAAACGGTTCTACCGGAAAGACGTATGCTCCGAATGTGGGAACAAGTTCGTATCGTTCGCGGCAATTGTTACTTCTAGAGCCTCTGGAAGCGGGGAATTAACCTAGGAAATATTGATTTTCCTTAATATCTCCCGTAATTATCGAAAACCGAGATGTGTGATCCTCCGCCGCGGATGAGGGGCCTGCTGACCGTGCAGATTAAGCGGAACTTGATAACGGCCGCCATATTTGCCGCGACAAACGCATTGTTATTTCGGATATTTTACGTTAACCCTAAGCAGAAACGGATACGAGAATACTATCTGTAAGTGCATCCAAAATACCGTAGAAAAATTCTACAGTAATTTACATCAATCTATCGACTGCAAATTATTTTTGCTCGGAGTATAAATGCAATGAAAAAAAAAATGCGGATCTTTTACAACAGAAATTACGACCCAGACGTCAGCGAGGAATTAATGGCTCCGTATTTGCACACTACCTACTTGGACAAGGAGGACGAGGCGGAAGAATAGCGAAAGAGTAGCGGAATCGAGAATGGTCACTTTATAGTAACGTTGCAAAGGGTCGGACAAGATTGTTCCCTGAAACGGATCGAAATAACACCCTACGTTAACCGAAATAATTGACGTCAATGATGGATCCGCGGAGCGATTTTTGGCCCCGTGCCCGGCGGAGCTTTTACGCCGCGCGCTTTTTCAGGGCGGAGAGGGTGAGTGCGCGAGGATAGGAGTAGTCGGAAAAGTTCACCCTAAAAAGCTCATCCCTCTCGGCTCCGTCTCCCTGCGCCGCATTGGTTTGCACGATCGTAAAAGGTATCCATCACGGGTATCAAGCGTGGAGTACCGCGAAATTCGCGCAAGTATCGAGAGGCGATCGAGAGGGATATTTGGCAGGAGCCTGAATTTTTCGTCAGGTTCATCCACCGCCGCGGAAAAAGCACAATAGGGCTTTTTATCGGTCTTGCTCGCGATGGGATTGAGCCGGCGAGCGATATGACGATTTATGAGAGGCATCGGCCGGCGTTTCGCCATTTTTTTCGTCTCTGAGTCCCGTCGACGCGGCATGCCCAGTTTTCCAGTAATTCTCGGGAAGTGTCCACTCGAAAATCGTTAATCCCGGTCCACCGGTCTTTTTGAAGCCGACATCATCGCACACCTTCTTCGTCGCGATGGGATCACCCTCGTTCTCGATGCGACGATTTTCCCGGGAAATCGAGCGCGCGCGCCAAAGTCGTTGCGGATTTTTCAGCCTCGCTGCGTATTTATTCCGGGCGACGCGTTGACGAATTTCAATCCGCCGTCGAGAAGGCCCGGAATAACGAGTCTTGATCGGAAGTAAATTCGCCGAAGTTCCGGGAAACAACGGATTTCTGGGTCGATCCTCGCGTGGGATGATATTGCTCGGAAGGAAAATCGAGCGCGAGGAGCCGGCCCATTTTTTTCACACCTCGCGCTCCTCGAATATGGAAATCTCTCCGTTTCTTTTTATTCTCCTCCCCCTCGGCGCCCGCGGATATCGACCGGCGCCTCGAGGACCGGGAAGGAGAAACTGAACGCCATCGGCGAAACTTTATTCCCCACGACGGAGCGTGCCAAGCGCGCGAATTCGTCGAAACGGCCCGCGACGGACGGAGAAAATCCGCTGGAAAACCGAATCTTCGCCGATTCGCTCGCTTAGATCGGAAGGTGGAGGGAGCGATTGTCGCGAGATGTCATAATCTCAATAACGCCGAGTCCCTATCAGGATTTATTCGCTCCCTTTCGTGGTTCCTCCTCTCCTTTGCGCGAAGGTCTCCTCGAAGATCGTCGCTCTTGGAACCGGAAGAGCAAAGAGACGGGAGGAGAAAACGGAGCAGCCGCGCTCGAGCGAAACTTAATTTTCACGGCGGACAAGTTTTAATCAGGTTTGAGAAATTAGAAGAAAACCTCGCGCCCGTCGGAGGAGCTCCGTTTCCGGGGAAGTCGATAAGTGGGAGATGGGCAAGTTGGCACGCTCGCTAACTCCATACGTCTGCACTCTTCCTCCCTCTCTATTTCTCTCTCTGACCAATTGCAGGGCATTTTGCAACGTTCCGCCCACACTGATAGAAATGCCCATATAAATTTTTCGTGTAAAACTTAAGTGCGTAAAGTGAATGTAAATTTCTATGGATTTTTATCAGGGCGTTCTCGGTGAAATTGAGAAGGATTCTTAGGGCGCTGTCGCAGAGGGTGAACGGGCTGGAGGCTTGCTCCGACTTTCGAATTTTCTCCCTCTCGTCCGTTTAGCCAATGTACCGGGAAGGGAAGGGGGGGAATAAAGAGGAGAGAAAAGGGAAAACGATCGGCACGCTCGAATGGGGTCCTAGGAACGGGTCCGAGCTTCCAGTGCGGAGGAAATGGAGAGGGAACGAGAAAGATGGAGAGAATCGAACCTACGAAGGCTCCTTCGAGCCTGACCGGGCCAGGAAGTTCCCCAGGAAACTCCGCTCGGAGAAAAGTCCAGAGCTCGTTCCCGGGGCGCCTCGTGCACGGTATATCCTTGTCGGTCCTCGACTTCCGGTCACGTGACTCGGATCCCATGGAAACTCGTCAAGAACTGCCGACGAGCGACGGACTTTACGGTCGTTGCGCCGTGCGCCGCGCTCCCGGACTCGCTCTTCCTGGAGGTCCTGCAGCTCCGGGAACCGGGACCGCGACCGGGTCCTCCGGGCTCCGTCGAATTGGACGAGGGTCGCTGCCGGCCCCACGAGGCAGATAGACTTTGGCTCTAATGCGATCCTACCGGCAATTTTACGCTCCGAGCATCTCGAAAAGCCACGAAGAAAAAGGAGGAGCCTCCGCCTGTTCGCTCTCTCTCTCTCTCTTGCAAGGATTTCCGCACTGCCGGGACGGAGCTTTGAAGTACCCCGACGTGTCGCCTGCCGAGTAATCGCTAGTTTGCCTTGCAAGTGCCTCGATGTAAGGAAGGCGACTCGAATCGACCGGCTTACCGGATCAGCAAGTACCTTTCGTTTCCTTCCCTTTTTCCTCGAGACAAGGGTTAGCGCGGGAATTTATTCCTCAACCTAATATAAGTGCTGGGATTCGACCGGTGCACTAGAGGGATCGTTCGCTCGGGAAATCACGTGGCGGTGGAAACGCTCAGTAGAGGCGATTTAGGATGAGAAAATCAGAGATGCCGATCGTAGAGTAGCATTAATCGCGAGAGGGGTAATCGCGGCATTCGTTTTCCGAGGTCCCGGGACGGCTCCGGCCGGTGCAGCTGCAGCTGCACCGTGCACCGTAATTTAACGTCGGCGCAATTAGCCCGCGTATGAAAGCGGAGGATCGCGTAGTTGCGAGCCGGGCGCGAATAGGCGAGTCGACTCGTTAATGTTAAATTGCGCCCCGCCGCAAAGAGTCCGCCCGCCTTGGACGCGCGTTCGGGGCCCGACTTACCCCCGAAAACGCGGCAAATTAGCCCGGGTACCAAATGGCGGAATTGCATTTTTGAGCACCCTGCCATTTTCCTCCAGCCCCGTTGATTAAGCAGCCTAGTTAAGGCCGCAACGCCAGGTGCGCGTACCTAAAGCACAATGCGCGTATTACATTCGTCCCAATTATCTGGTTCGCGCTGCGTAAACACCGGCTCGCTGCGCATTTCCCGTGGATGCAGTTCTTCGTGTAAACCGAGGCACAAAAGAACCCAATTACAACAATTTCCCGAAATGCACAATGCACCCCGCCGCCGAGTAAATCCCTGACACCGTGCCTTTTACCGTTCGGCCCAGCCGAGCGAATTACCAACCGGCCTCGCTTTTCAATGGCTACGACCTTTGGGGTAACGCGGCTAATCGGCCCGAATTACGGGGGGTGCGATAAGTGCCCCCTTGTCCACCCCCTCGCCCAACCCCCTGACGAGTCGATCCCTCGTTAAGGGCGCTGCGTTTTGCGATATCGCGAATTTACGTTCCGCGATGCCCGATTTTCGGGAAAGCTTTCGAGTCGGTCCAATCTGTCCGCGATTTCCACTTGCGGTTTAACGACATTCGGTGACTACACGGTTCGGCCACGATACGGGGCTGCGGAGGAATTAAGGAATTACGCCGGTAAACTCGTTAGCCTGGCCGCGACCTGGCGAAAAAAGATTCCGATTAAAGCTTAATCCAATCCGACGTCGGTGTTTCTCGGGGCGGTTACTCTCGAATTCAGTTTCCCCCGGGGGTTGCACCCCCGGGCGACGAATGTCTCTTGACAAACGGCGCTGCGGTTCCGCACGAGACCGCGACTCGGCCGATGGTCCACTAATTACGCCACTTCACCTGGCTCTTCTCATATCCTCGTTGTTCCCGTTCTTTGACGATTAACCCTTACGTTATACTTAGCGTTACATTTTGTTACGCTTTTGTTGAATCCGACCTCGTCGGGGAAATCGTCGCATCGGTGAAGGGGGCAGCAGGTGAATCTTGGAATTCTCGACTTAAAAGTGCCGAGACAGAAGCCATCGGGAAAGTTGGCCTCCTTCGGGCGGTAAACATTTGCGCCCGTTCTTCGGTGCTCCAGGAGACGAAGTCGGAGACGAGGACTCGCGAATCCGCGGGGGAATTCTCGGAGAGTTCGGAATTCGTTTCCTGGAGGGCGCGATAAGTTGGAGGGACGCCTAAGAGGGTGGGAAATAAACGGGAGGAATTCCGGGGTAGGGGCGGATAGGGGGTGGCCGGGCTACGAGGGGAGGATTTCCGGGGAGATGCCGGACTTTTCCCTCTCGCATCGCGATCCGGGAATTCGTTATTTTAGCCGTTTCGCGAGGTGCGTGTTGGCCAAAAGGAAATCGCCCGCGCGCGCGTATCTTCCGCTTGATATATCTCCGAGTCGCTGCCCCGGCGATAATTCAGCGGGGCAATTTTTCACGGAGAGAGAAGGACCGCCGGGAGGAGGGAGATACCGCCCGTGATATATATATTCGATATAAGGCAGACGAGGACCGGGAGGGCGGACGCGCCGATCGAGCCCGCGAGACGTGGAATCTTATTAAGCGCCCCGTTAGAGAAGAGCCCCGGGACCGCTGCGGGAATTAAACGCCAGGATTCCGCTCGAGACCGGCCCTCGCGATGTGTGCGGACACGCCGGGACGTTAGCGTCCCGCCAGCGTCGCGTTAGCCACGCTCTCTCCGTCTTAATTATGGACCTCGGCTGCTGGAGATCGCGATTCGTCGGATTGGCCTCGCGACTCTCGCCGGCCCCGAGTCGTCCCTGTCCTTCTCGAGTCGGGGCTCGATTACCTCCGAGACGGCCTTACCTCGCTTACCTCGACGTCTCTCGAGATTCCTCGCGAGTCGGCTTCGACGCTAAATACCGTCTCGCGATGATCGCCCCGTGAACGCCATCTTCGGGGCCGATCGGACCCAGAGACGCGCCGTCAAGGATTAGGTCCGACCTTTCTCGAGCAATCGGTGTCAGGTGTCGGCTGAGAGACGCGGAACGAATGCGTTTTCTACGGCGATTTGGTAAAATTGATCGGGAAGCGGGGCGGGATGGCTGGGCTCTTCTGG